AATGTTTGGTTTTAATTACTGGAGTTATGAGAAACGTTAAAGATACTCTTAAAGTGAGACTCTTTATAGATTTTCTATCACCTCATAGCTTAACGTCAATTTCTGCGACAATATTACATAACATGTGCTAAAAACATAAAGTGACAAAGAGTTCATAGAGTGTCTCACTTTTAAGAAAGTCTCCTTAGCATTTCATCGAGGTATTTAGTGATGACAATCTTGTTTAAAATGTTTTTTTTGGTCCTTTTATTGGAATAAATTATAACATTTAGAAGGTTGTTAATCTCTCTTTGTTTCAATGACGTTCGAAATTGTAAATATGAAAATTATAAACATGTACACTAATATTCTTCAACTCTTTTATTCCAAAAAGAAAGTATAAACATTGTACATACGAAAGGTCCTTGGTGCAGACTTAGAAATTTAAATGAATAAATTATGTAGCCATCAATTCATTGATTCATTTCCCACCGACATTATAATCCAGTGGCATGCATATTCAAATCCAGATCCTCTTTGTGAGGATCTCATGAATCTGTAAATCATATCCCTTCATCGTACATTATGCGATATACGATACCTAATCGCACGATGCATGATAAACAAACACGATTTATGAATTCCTAAAACCCTCATCAAAAAGATCCGAAGAGAATCATATTCCTGCATATTCAATCCAACCCAGGACAATTATTGTCATCCTATCCTCCTAGTAACACATTGGGCAACCTAGCCTTCTTTTTGGACGTTGAGATTTGAATTTATAATTTCCTTTAAATAATAAAAAACCCGAGTGTCAGGATTGGTTTTGTGTTATGGAAATTATTTTAAAAATTGTGTTTGGTAAATGAAAATAAAAAAGTGTTTTTTTTGTTAAAATTATGAATCCAAAACAACAGAAATTAAAAACAGCTTTACTCCTATTTTTGAAAATAGCGTTTTTGTTTTTTTTTTCTTCACAGTACAGCAACTTCATACTAGCCCTCAATAAATTGAATGGAGATAGCTAGATGATAACGTACGATAAAATATATACCATAAACAACATCGTTTCAGACTCGATGGCAGAGCCAGACTTTGAGTGTGAGATGGATTGGGATGAAACTAAACAGTGAAGCTATCTAAAACCTCAACTCTTTCCAAACAAACCAGTTCAAAAAGGTGAAAAACCTTCTAAACAGACATGGGCGATCTCTAGCAGCTACCTGCAAATGCACAAAATTGGATTGGACTGTTGTGCTCCTTAGAAGACAGACTGGCCCATTTTGATTCTGCCTCTTGATATATCGGCCCACTTGGTTAATAAATAAAGGCCTGCACTTTGTTCGGGTTTTGTGATATTTTTATTTTGTGTGAAGGATAACTCACGGATTGATCAACACGCAAGTGAATTCAAAAATAATAATACTACCATACTACGACAACTCATATTTGATAAGCTTTTTTAAGTCGCATGGTTCATCATTCATAGCATCAATATTGTTTTCAACTTAATCATATATTATTAAACAAAGAATTTTGTCATAAAATGTCTCAGCAATATTAGAAATGAACCTTTTACGTATAATTTGTAAGATCTTAATTTGTTATTGTGCGACGAATTAAAGTGGAGTATCATGGGCCCAATTCGGGCCCACTTTATGTGTGACGTGGCCAATGACAAAGATGCACACCAAAACTTACGCCATCTTGGCATCTTGGCAGAGCTAAATGTCATTCGAGGTTCCAACTAGGCACCAGCTTAGACAGAAAATGGTTGTTCAGTCTAGTTGGAGTTGAACCGTCATTGGCAAGTCGGTTGAACCAGTTGGCCCGTGTCTCCCTTCTCACATCTACGCCATCCAATTATTTGCGTAACACGTGGCCCAATTAATCAAGCACGCGAGTATTTTCTCATTTCCCTTCAATCTTTGGATTGTAAATGGCCCTCAGGTTTAAGCTTAATTGCAAAACTAGCCCTTGATTTTTAGGCTTTCATTGTGCCGATTTTGACTGTTGACTCGCATAGTCTAAATTGGAAAACAAAGATGAAAGGTCAAACCATGTTTTTTTCTTCCTTTCTGTTCACTGCTACCACAACCACCAACTTTGACACCACCACTTTCCACTACATCACCATCGTCACCATTATCATATCCTCAATCGCCATCACTCTCGCCACCGTGTTTTGCCACCACCACCTCCACCACTCACCATCATTACGATCGACATTATCGCCACCGTCTTTACATGACCACCACAACTTGTACCTCTGCCTCCACCACCACTACCACTACCATAATATCCATTGGCATAACCCTGCGACCATGGTCATCATACCTCCATCGCTTATTGTTACAGACCCCATCTTGCACCACCATCACCACATTCTCCATTGCATTACCCTCACCATGGTCGTCACCACCTCCACCAAGTCCGCCACCGTCATCCATCCCTCTCAACCGCAATTTTCATAACCATCCCTCTTAACCATTGTTACTACGAGCATCCTCTACCACCATTGCAGCCGTCACTGGACCACCATTGTCCTCCACCTCGCTATTGCAACCACCTATATCCCGCCATTACTAACACTTCTATTCTCACCACTACTATCCCTACTCCACCCACCATTTCTATAAACACCACTCTCGTCTCAACCACACCACCCTTACCACTACCGTCACAATTACTACCAAAAATAAATATATGTATACAATTTTGGACATTTGGTATCAAATGCGCGTTTATGTTTTTATTCTCTAAAAATATTTCGGACTAAACTACCACGAATTCTCAAATTACAAAATCTTATTTATGTTGTCCTTTTGCAACAAAACATTTTTCACAACCCGTTTTGAAAAACATTATCCGACCGACCTTTGCCACTCTCCAAATGGCACAATTTTTCTCAGGAACGAAGAATTCTAACTTTTGTCACCCAACAAAAAAAAAAAGGATTTCAAATTTCCATAGAAAGTTGTTGACGGACGTGAACATGAAATATATACGGCATAAATGGCATTTCCGTAATCCCACAAAAAAAAATGAAGGTGCAATAACTAGGGCGTGGATAACCATGCCACCAGCGGTGTCGGACCCACGTCACATACGCGGACCGCCTTCATGACAACAAACAGCGTTTTTGGTAGGGAGCTTCACAGATAACTCCTATCACGGAAAATAAAAATAAAAAAGGAAAACTGTTTTCTCTACGCGCTTCAGATAGCGTGAAGAATACCACCCAAGGCCACGACCCATTGCGCGTGTCTCCATAATACATATCAACATTCTCATGTAAATCCAATTTCGAATTTTGGATTTATCTGCGAATAGAATGTTGATATTTCAATTTTCATCCTTTGTCGCATAATTTATGTCCCGCTAATGGAATTAAGATTTCTCTTGATTAATTAGAAAAAAGTTAATATTATCTTGAAAGATAGTGGAGTTAATATTCATTCGTATGGAGTTAAAATGTATTTTTTTTAATTTTGTTTTTAAACAAATTAAAGCTTTTGTATCAATATTTTAATTTTGTAAAACTAAAACGTCACATGTCATGGTCCAAAAAATACTTGTCTAACAACGAAAATTTCAGTAACAATGAATGTGATGACATGAAAGATGCTATAAATCTCAATTTTGCAAAGAGTTCCTTTCATTTGGTTCCAATCATATTATAAGATATAGTTGAGAAAATATATAGAATTATTAAATTTTCAAATATATTGTTTTTAGTATGAAAATATTTGCATTTGCTTAACAAAATTGATAGTGAATTGATAGGTTTACATCCAATGTAAGTTCATCAAATAAAGTTACAAAATCTACTCATGACGAATATAAACGATTAACTGAGTTGCTAAATAATATTACTAGAAATATGTGACTTAGACCCTGTCGGGTAAATGGCGTTAAAGAAACCTAATCATTAAGAGAATCTGTAACCTTATCATTTTTTTTTCCCGATATAAAAAGATAATAAATGCTAAGAATACTTTTAAAAATAAATTATTTATGTACTTTCTATCACCTAAATACCCATGTCAAAATTATAAAGTATTAGAATTCCATTTTTTAGCATTGTTCTAAAACTCTCTGCCTAACGCCTCCTAACCCCTAGGTAGCGCCTAGGTAGCTGACTACCATCCTGATTAATGTCTAGGCATTTAAAAATTAAGAAAGAGCGCTAAAACCTGCTGAGGCACCCGCCTAGGCACCCAATTGTTACTCACTAAAAACAGATAACTTTCATTTTGCATTTTATTTATTTTTTCAATAAATTGTAAGAAACTTGTTGAATACTTAAATGAACACACTTTTTATGCTTGTTTCCTATATTTTTATTATGTTCTCATACTTCATAACATATATGTCATTCTATTTTGTAGTTTATGATGAAATTATATATATTTTAAGTATAAACACACTTAATTACATGAAATATAATAAATTTACTTAAATCAACTTAGTCCTCTTACCTCAGCTTGCCGTCAGACTCACGCGTATCTTCTTTTAGAACCATTTTTTAGAAAGCCTCTCTCGCATTTATGAAGAAAATTATTATCTAAATCACATCTTTCTAGATAAGTGAGCTGTAGGAAAACCTGATTGTTTTCTATTTAACCCTTTCTTTTATGAAAAGGAAACCTAATTATTAAGGGAATAGGAATAGTTACCAAAACCAATAATGAAACCTTAAAACCATGGGGGACACCGCCCAAATTGTGGCGAGTGGTTTACACACACTACCGCCTCTTTGTCGGTTTGGTACTCCTTTTGCTTTTAGGTCTCTTCCCCTATAAAGTCCGTCCCTCCCTCCCTTTCAATATTCACATATGATCTCTGTAAATTCCTCTTCTCTCTCTTCTTCTCTCTCTCTCTCTCTCTCTCTCTCTCTCTCTTCCTTTCTCTCTCTAAGTTGTGGCCCAAGAGCCCCAAATTTACTAGTCTTTTCCCTTTAGGCCCTTGAGCTCTGAAAGCTCGAATTTTCGGATCTGAATTTTGTGTGGTCTCAGATGGCTGTTGAAGTTCTCAGTCCCAAGGATTGCCACAAAGACTCGTTCACACGCCAATCAGTAATGAATTTCAATCGGAACCCTAACCCTAGCCGCCTCGGCCGCCCCAGCCGCCCCCAGAACGACGGCAAGAACCGAAGGCCCACCCGGCCCAATAACCTCCCTCGCCCGGTCCAGAAGTCCCCGGCTCCCCAAAACCTCGTCATGGGCCAGGTCAAAATCCTCAAGCGCGGTGAAGAAATCCCCAAAACGGCGCCGGCTACACCACCACCGAAGCAAAATTTCAAGCCCCAAGTGCCGGCTCCGCCACCACAGAAGCAGAATCCCAAGGCCCAAGTTCCGGATCTCGGAAACACGAACCTGATGGGTCCGGCACCCGAGCGGGTTCCGAAGCAGACCAAAAACAAGGACTCGAACATGACTGCCGGGTTCTACGCCGGGTCGTCGTCGTGCATAGCCTCGCCGCCTCCGAGCTCTCTGCCTCTTCCGTCGTTCTTCGCCAAGAAGAGCGTTGTCTCGAGCACCGACGCTGCGGCAAGCGAGCTGCTGAAGCTTCTGCGGCTTAATTTGTCGTAGTTGACCGTGAAATTGCAGAAGTGTAAAGTCTTGGGTTTTGGCTTAACGTTCGAGATGCGTGGTTGTCGTCCGTCCCCTTATTTTTTCAAAGGGAAGGTCGATGAATTCGCAGTTCGATCTAACGCTTTTTCTCCTTTTTACTTTATGGGTTAGATAATTAGTGTGCAGGGATAATTGGATCGGCCCGGTTTAGTGTTTAATTATCATTTTGTTTTAGTTATTAATTTTTCTATTAAAATAGGCTTAGGGATACTTTGCCTTTTTGGTCTGTCTTGAAGATGGAGATTAGGGTCGGGTATTAGGAGCTGTATCTTCAAACTTAGGGTGTATATTCCCTAGTTTTTACGATGTAGTTGCAAATAAGTAAAGTCTAATTTAGTTTTTAAATTCCATGTATATCATTTTCTATTATTAAGGTGTTTTTTCCTCGCACAATTGTCTAGAAATTAATTTGCTGGAATATGAAGTATGAACTGAGGATTTTATTTTATTCTTTTTTTTTGGTCGAATGATAAATTTTGAATCTTTGATTGATTAGAGGTTAGATTAGTTTCCGTACAATTTACAAAAGATGAAATTCGGAAAAGCTGGGGAAAAAGCACTTTGGGTTGCACAGCCGTAGAAAGCAAAAGATGAAAGCAGGTGCAAGTGTCCATGAACTCTTTTTCTGTGCCCCTTTCGGCCCCAGAACTTCACTTGATGTCGGTAGGATTTGGCATGAAAACTGAAAACGGACTCTAAACATGAACCAAATTATGATCCAAGGCCCTAAATTTACCAACGGGATCTAAGGATTTATAAATCGTGTTTATTATGTAGTTAATTTTTATTAGGTATTATTTATGTTTAATTTTAAATAAAAAAATTTATAATGATTTCAGACTGTACGATAAACAAACACGAGTTATAAATTTTTAAAATCTTTACAAAGAGAATCAAGAATCCGGATTTCTGAATTTAGTACCAAGTTTTGGAGGATAGTGATGATGTGACTTAAACTGGTTTAATTGCTGGTTTTTTGCAAATCAATGGGCTATATAGGCCAAAACACTTAAAAATTGTTTTCAGTTGAAATCATTCAACCTTTGTAAACAACTTAAAACCTTTTCTACTGCTTAATGTTATGTACAACCAGTGGTAATAATTTGAATATAACTCGTCACCTACGGCAGTGGAATTTGAAACTTTTCACTTTACCATAGTGCAACGTGGCCAACAACATTAAACTTTAGGCTTATTTTTTGGGAAGAGGATCCTCTTTGGGATCCATTTTAGGATTTCCTCATTCTAACCGTGTATCATATATTGTGTGGTCAGTTTTCATCAAGTATTATTTTTGTTTAATTTTAAATAAAAAAAGTTAAATAATTTTTGACCGCACGATGCACGATGAATAGATAAGATATGAGGATCCCTAGGATTCCCACAATTTAGATCTAGATGGGATCCAAATCCTATTTTTTGTTATGCCTTTTAAAATTCGACTTTAATCTCACTTTGACCCCTAAAACGCAAAATGCATCACTTAAACTCCTGAAACTGCTGATACGGTGGCCACATAATTGTTATATTTTGAAAACTCAAGAAAATAGTTTTCAGATTTCCAATTTTAATTTTTTCGAAAAAGGATGTGATTGAAGGAGACTTGAAAATTGTCATTGAGGCGATCATGGGAAAGTGTTGCATTCCTTGATGGATTCGTGCAATTGTTGAAGATATCAAATAATCAAATGGCTGACCTCTTTTTTTTATTTTATAAGTTAGAAGCATATTTTTAGGGAAGCAAATTTTGTAGCGGATGCAGTCACCTCATGTGGGCTCATGTTTGGAGTGGATGTGTTCCTTATGGAGCTACCAGTGCTTTGTTGTTTGACTCTAGGGGCCTTGATGTTCCCGGGGTTTTTCCCTCTCTTAATTTTATTTTCTTCCTCAAAAAATCTATAAAACTAAAAATAAAATGGTTATTAAGGGACTTCTCACCTATTTACAAACAAAATAGGGTAAGTTGATAGGGCATGCAACAATGTTAAATGGCCGGAATGGGTTTTTCATGGAACGTTTTGAGCATAACAAATCTAGCGGACATGTAAAAGCTCCGTGGGCCTTGTCTACCAAAACAAATAAGGTGTGTGTTTTTAGGAGACTAATCCAAGAACCTGAATCTTTATGGGCTCGGGTTCTGAAGGGCAGGTACTTTTCGAAGGGTGAGGTATTGTCGGCTAAGAAGGGTTCACGGGCATTATGGGCGTGGAGCAGCCTTCTGGAGGGACAAGCTGTCATCTTTCGTGGAGCTTGGTGGCAAATTAGCAATGTCTTCTGGAAGTTGATGTGGAGGATTCAGTCCCACAATGGTGGTTATTCAGTGAAATCCAGCTATGCCTATGCTTATTGCCATATTCCTAGGGGTGTGGAGCTTCAGCATTGTCGGGGGCAAGCCCAGCGATCTCATCAAATTAGCAATGTCTTCTGGAAGTTGATGTGGAGGATTCAGTCCGTGCTGATTGTTCCAGTTGGTCGCCCCCCTCCCTTTGGAACTATCAAGGCAAACTTTGATGCCGCTTGGTCCAACGGGAATCGGGAAGCAGCCATGGGTGTGATACTTCGCTTTTCTGACGGTTTTATTGTGAACAGCAAGTCTGCTGTTTGCTTTTCAAAATCTGCACTCGAGTCGGAGCGCGGGCGGGCCTTCATGCTGCAATTGACAACGATATCCAGGATGTAGTTTTCGAATCTGACTCCCAAGAGCTCATTCATGGCATAAATCCAGGATGTGTTTCAAATTGGACTTTAGCTTCGCTTGTATTCTGTTCTCTCCCCTGTCTTGGCCCTGCCGGGGTTGAGTTTCCCTTGGTCCTACTCATTGCTGTCTTCGCCCTTGCTCTGTTTTCTGTGTTTATTTTCTGGTTTTCTACTATATCTGTTTGGTTCCTCGGCTCTGCCCCTAATGAAATGTCCTTCATCAAAAAAAATAAATAAATAAATAACGATTGCAAATGGTAAATTGTCCTGGTTGATATGACATTATCTTTTACTCATTGCATCTCAAATTTAAATCCTTATTCGTTTTCATAATGTAAATTTGAGTAATAATAATAATAATAACACTCGTAATAATAAAACAGAAGCACGCTATAGTTTGATCAAATAATGAGAAATAAGAGGAGTGAAGACTTTTAAAGTTATTGCATTTGTCAGTCAGTTCCTTGCAAGTAATGTTTTGGCAATAAAGTCTCACCCTTCGATATTTATGAACATGAATGTGTCCACAATCCACATATATTAACGACCCTCCATGCATTTACCGTTTCACATCAATACTTTACACGCAACGTTGTTAGCCTTTATTAAATCGATTCTCTCAATAACTAACAAATTTATGTTTTGCCAGCATTTAAAAATCCTGCAACTTTTTTGGTATGGCAAAGTTTCAAGACGGAGTTTACATTAGTCTCGGTTAAGGACATGCAATAATCTACGCTTCACGCGGTGCACGATTCCATATATGGTTTCATTTTGCATCGTGATGGAAGACATGGATTACGATCATGAGCTTTGATCTTGCTACTAGGCATTTGACTAAGACATGACATAATCTACACAATTTTATGTACAGTAAAAAAGAGTTGTAACTCACGTGATTGAAAATGAAGTCCGTATTCGGATCACTCCCCGCCCATATCGCTTGTATAAACATAAAAATGTGATCAAGGGGTGTATATTAAAACGTGCACTACTTTCCTTAACAATCTTCTCTTAACCAGACTTGTAAGACTGCAAAGTTACGTCCTGCACTTTTGGGGCTTCACCAACTGCATTTTCTGCCTTCACCAGCAATATTTATGATATTTGCTAAAGGCTCTGAAGCTGATTCCCAGAAACGCAAAACTTTCTCACTACACTTTCTCAAGGTATCATAAATATAAAACATTTGTGTGTGTGCGTGTGTGTGTGTGTATAGGCGGTATTGAAAGGTCGAAATTTCATAAACCCGTGATTAACTGCCAACAACTTTTTACTGTACGTATATAATGTGAAAGTGTAAAGGAAACGGTCGTTTTTAGATCAGCAAATTGGGCCACGAGGCTCTAATTTTGTCGAATTACACTTCAACGTTTTAATATATTACAAAGTTGTACATTTGTTAAGTAGACTGTTTTGTTAACCATTAACTAATAACGTGGCAACACGGAACCTACACCTGGAATGGCATCGGTGTGTTTCATATCACATGGTTAGTCGGTTTGTGGAGTGCTTTCAACATTGTCAAATCAATAAGTAACGATTTAATTGACAACAAAATGTGTAAATTGGCTGAATGTCAAAACATTAGGTGTAATGTGAGAAAATTAGAACTCGTGCTCATTTGAAATTAACCCTAAACCTCGAGAATGTAAATAATTATTTCTCTTTATCTTCACTTGTAAGTGAGAGGTCTTAGGTTCGATTCTCACCAAAGACGAATTTGAATCACATTATTATCGTTTGTTAAAAAAAAAAAAAACCTCTATACATATAAATAACCATTTAGCTTTAGTTGCAAATTACAATTTAGATTTATATACACAACTAACAAAATTAATATTGATACACTCAAAAAAAAAAAAACTTTTGATTTACCTACCAAGAGAAATGGTTCCGACATTAGGAACCGTCCAAAATAAGATATTTATTATTAAAATAGAAACGGATATTTTCTTGATTAGTCACCTCTATAAAAGTCGCTTAGATTATGCAAAAGCTAGAGAGATTTTTCAATGTGATCGATACACTGGATGATACATAATATGCTATTATACAAATAGTGGGATATATGTGCTAAAAAATTAATAAATTAAAAAATAAATTTTCCCACTACTATTAAAACACGTGGGGTACCACTTGTGTTCCCGTTACAACTAAAAATTTCTCCAAAAGCTGAACCATATGCAGTAGGACCAATACATGAGCCTAATATATAAGTTTCTCAAAATCTAATGGTTTGTTTGATGGACTGGATGAAATTGGCCTTGGAGATAGGATTATATTGACAGGGTTTGTAAGATATGACTTTGTACCTCATGTATAAAGATAGGTTAAATAACTCATTCTATTGCGGATTCATAATCCATCTTGTCAAGTCTTGTTCATTTTACATTTGACACGATAAACAACGGATTTGACTCAAGTTCCTCATAATTAATCACAACTTATCCCATTGAGCTCAGCATATGAGGCCTAAAAGGCAACCTGATCACTAAAGCTTGCTTAGCTTTTAAAGTTTTTGCCCTACATTTTATTTTTAACACAAATGATATTTTACACTAATTTACATTAAAGAAAATAAGAGTTTGAATTCGAGACTAAGATAAATCCACCACTTACTTTGTCCGGCATCTTTAAACAGTCTAAAAGAAACCTAATTCTATAACTTCTCATTGCATTTTACCCATCCTCACTTTAAAACCCTTCTGAAATAGCCTTGGAGATAAGATCAATTTTTATGTGACTACCAATTATTTGTTTTTGTGACTTATAATGTTTAGAGTTACCTTATGTGGTAAGATTCTTATGGAAATTATTGGGAGTTTGGAGCAATCACTTTTCCCTTTCAATCCATTGACAAGCACTTCATGCATAAACGTTGTCCACCTAACTTTCTAATAATGGTTTTTCCAACTTCAAATATTTAGGGGACAAAGATTGTCTGCCCTCCCACTTCTGATGCCCTTTCATGCCCTTTTGTTTTGTCTGCCCTCCCACTTCATGCATAAAATATTAACGTGGCTAAGCCGTGACCACACAAACAGGAGGGCACGGGTGGGCACCGGAAGTGGGATGGCAGACAATCCTTGTCCATATTTAGGAGCCGTTTGATAACTATATTGTTTTTAATTCTTATTTTTCATTTTTTTTGGAAATTTAAAACTAAAATCTTATTTGGTAATTATTTTATGTTTTCATTTTGAAAACTCAAAAAAGTAATTTTCAATTTTTTTTTATTTAAAAAAAACTGAAAATTAAAAGTATTTACCAAATAAGATTTCAGATTTCATCCTTTAATAATTCACTTGAAGAATGTCAATGGCATCAAATGAAATTATTCGATAACATTTGAGAAGTGCTAAGAAAACTTTCAAAGTGAGACTCCTCATAGTTTAACGTCAATTTTCATGTCAACATCCTAAAACATTGTGCTAAAACATGAGATGGTAGAGAGTTCATTGAGAGTTCTATTATTGAGAGAGTCTTGTTAACATTTCTCATAACATCTTATTGGAATGCTACTAAGGTATCTTGACATTATCAAGTCATTTTTTCATCTCAACTATATTAAAGAACCGTTTTTGTCAATTAAAAGAGGTTGAAATAATAATTTGGTTTTTATTCATATTCAATAAGAAATTCAAATAAAATCATGAACAATAAGGTAATTTTGCACATAATTTTTATTATTGTTTTTTGTCTTTCCTCATCCACATATCATCAAAACATAAGAAATATTGTATATTTATTTATTATGAATTGTAAATTATGTCTCTCTCATAAAAAAAAATATAAAACATTACCAAAAAAAAGTTCCAACGTCCACCACTATTCACACTAGTGGTGTGTGGGACAATGCTAATATTTATTTATTCGACCTAGTAAAAGAAAATTATTAATTGTGGAACTAACTACAATACATACATGTATTTAATCAATAATTATCTAAACTGTGCTATTTTTCTCCAACTTACATGTGGCCGCGTTGGAACTGTTCAAATTCATTGTCACTTAAGAAAATGGACAAACCAACATGTCTAAACCATTTTAGGCAAGTTGGATTTGACGTTTTATGGGTTGGGCTTAATTGATTTCTTTCTTTTTCATAGTGTGAGTACAAGTGACAAATATTCAATACTTAAAGTCAAATTAGGTGAATTTGATATTGTAAAATCATAGAAACTACTTTATATATAAATTTCACAATTCAAATTAAGTATTAACAAACAAGGGCGTTCAAAAGTCATTGAATTTTAAGTATATTTATCCCTCTCTCTAATATTTATGTATGTTTAAGATGAATTATCATTTGTTAAAAAAAGAAAAGAAAAGAACAAGAATAGTCATTTGGTGTGTTAATTTCAATCGGTTAATAATGCTTCAATCCAATCAAATCCACATGTAGAACACATAATCAAATTTTTACCCCCAAAATAAAACTTAATGTTTACAATTCAACGCAACAAATATGGTAGTCGGTAGACCCACTAAAATGTTCACCGTAACATAGGGGTTTATTTGACAATTTTATTTTAAATCATGGAGAATCGAATCAAACATTTTTAAGGACCAGATTAGTGGCATTGTGCCAAGAACATATTATAATAGGCCGAAAAGTTTGAAGAGGTCATCCTCATGCCCTTTTTGCCCCCTTTGCCACACAACGAACAGAGGAATGTGGATGGACCCAAAACGTTGTCGTCTCAATCACAGGAGTGGAATGGGTTGGACCTTCAAACGGTGCCGTTTGGAAGACCGGCATGACAAAGGCCCACCAAAAGCAAAAACCCATTGAAATGAACCCATGCCAAAATGAAAGTTGTCAGCGCAACCCGTCACCCGTTGGGACCCAAATAAAAAATGGAAAAATAGAGAAAAGAAAAAAGAAAAAGAAAGAGAAGAAAAGGAGTCAGAGTCACACAGACCCACCCAAACAAAGCCACCAAAAAAAAAAAAAACAAGAAAAAAAAAAAAAGAAAAAACTGGAGGAATCATCAACTCCCACTTTCTTCCACCACCATATATATATTTTCAACCCCCCCATCCGCTCTCTATCTCCTTCATTTCTCTCTCTCTCTCCCGCATCCGCCACCCTCCTTTCTCTCTCTAAAAACCCTCTCTCTCTCTCTCTCTCTCTCTAGAACTCTGGGTTTGTACCTTCAGAGATGGTGGTTCAAGACGATTGGACGAGGGCGGCGATGACCGATGACGTGCTCGTGGTCGAGCTACTGCTGCGGCTCAAGCAGGTGCAGGCGGCGGGGCCGTCGTCTTCTCTGCGGTCTTCGTCACCGATGTCGCAGTCTCTTTTGACGCTCAGGTGGGGTGTAAGGATGCCACGCTCCAAAGCGGCGTCGTCCGGTTCCAGATTCGACGGCGGCGTCTCACACCAGAGGAACAGCGGCAAGAACGGCGCCGATTCCACCACTAGATGCAGCCCCACGACTCCGCTTTCATGGAGCGGCGGTACCGGCTCTCTATCCGCCACCGCCGACGGCTTTGAAGAGTCCAGCTGCCCCAGATCCAAGGTCCATATCACTTTCTCTCTCTGTGCTTTTCGATTTTTGTGCTTTGGATTTCCTGCTACCTGATCTCTGCTCGCAGTGTCTGAAGCGATGACTCTTCGAGTCTGTTTATTGACCGATATACCCACAGCGGCCGGCGGCGCTTCGTATTTACGTCTAGCTCTGCTGAGCAGCGCCGCTAGCGGAGAGCCTCAGTGTTGTTATGGTTGATGAGGCTTTTCGCGTGGCCGACCCATTTCGTGCCTTCTTTTTCACTTTACCATTTTTGTCCCCCTTCCTTTGACTTATTTACCTTCTTCGTCATTTTTTCCGTTTTTGTATACGCTCGATTTCGAAACGGACGTTTCTGTTTGCCCGTATCGCGTTTCGGCTGTCGTCCCCTGAGCAGCTACTGCTGACGAGGTCAAATTCGTCATTTCGGTTTTAGACTCTTCATTCTGTGTTTTTCTCGCCGATCGCTAATGGTCAAACCGTCGGCGGTACCGCTTTTGTGTCTTCATTCCGAAAATGCCCTGGCGTGCCGAAGTATTTTCGTATTTTGCTCACGTGACGTAGCAGATCGAGACCTTCTCACGTTTTCGTCCCGCTCCTTTTGCCGGTCATCTGTCATTCTTGTTTAGATTCACCAAACTGCCCTCCCAAAACCCCGCCCTAGATTCTGCCACCCAAGGACACTTCCGTCAATTCCACACTCACCGCAGTTTGAAAACCCCGAAGCTTCCTTTACTCGGCCAACTTTTCTCGTCTGAATCCCTTTTGCTCGCGACAAAAGTTGCATCCCGCGTCGAGTCAAAAGCAAGAATAGTGAGGCGCCTGGTGGGGCGTTTCGGTCATTTTATAAATACGGGTAGGGTGCGGTGGTCAGGTGGGGCCTATCTTAAAAGCGTGGTGGGGTCCGGTGAGTTTTTTGGTTAGGGATAGGTCTGCGTTTCGGTTTGGTGTGGCGATGTTAGTGGGGGGTTGTTGGTGTAATGATCCGGTGTGGCGCGGGTGCAGGGATCGGTTCAGCTGTCTCCTTTTAAAAACCCTTATTCTTACACTTTCTGGAGATCCAGAAAAACCCGGCTGGTTTTCGGCCGTCGATCTGGGGATTGTACTTTTGTGTCTTCCAAATCTAAGGGTCTAGGATTGTTTGGTTAGGAAGCGTCTTTTAATTGAAAATATCGTATTATTTATTTAGTTTTTAAACCTTTTCGATTGAGGGGATTTTGGAAAATAGATTGGAGTTGTCAGCAAGTGGAGAGGCGGTATTTGAAAGGAGTAATGTGGGATTGGATTGGAGGAGGGCCATCGCGAAGGAAAGTCATGTGAGAAAGTCACGTGAGGAATATATAATAAGGAGCCTGTCATGTGTGGCCACGTGGATTTTGATGATGTCAAATTCCACCTTACATTTCATTGGGAATGGAGAAGCTTTATCCGGGGTAGCAGATACTTGGGTAAATTGCAGGCTTGGTGGTGGATACAGATGTGGGATTCCGATTTGGGCAGCTCTCGCACCGGTGGGAATCATCATGGAGTCGGATGACGTTAAAATTTGAAAATTTAATGTTTTTTTTGTTACACGGGTTATATGAATGATGCGGTCGGACAACTTTATCCAATAGTTTTTACTATTTTAATATTGTTTTTTGGGGTTTTGGTGGGGCTTATATGCTGAAATGTGGTTTTTGGATTGAAATTTCAGGGTAATGGTACATATGAATCCACCAGCACCACCAATGCCGCCAAGAGGGCAAGGAGAAAGAAGGTAAACACTAAACCCCAAATTTTGTTTTGTCCCTTTACATTATTCATTGGAATGTAATTGTAAGAGTTTAATAATTAATGGGCCGTTTCGTAATCTGCAATTAATAGGAGGACTTAATTTGAAGTTTGTATTTTGACATGGACTTGGTTGTAATTTTATCAGACATATGCTGAGCTTAAAGAGCAGGAAAGTTCGTTGTTGAAGGAAAGGACACATCTGGAAAAGGAAATAGCGACCTTACAAGCAACTTTCAAGGAGCAAAGAGCCAAAAATGACAACTTTAAGAGAATCAAGGTGAGAGACAGATTCTAATTAATTTACATAAATTACGGATTGGATCTCTTATAGTTCTATGGATTTTTGCTTAATTTTCTATCCGATTTTTGTCTTTGCAGATTGATTTGAACTTGCATTCTGCAAGGAATTTGAGTGCAAACTTTGACGGAGCAGGGAAAGCAATTTCCAGCCAACCCCATGAGAGAATAGCTTCTTCGAGTAACACTGCGTACTGCATTCCTTCGGATTTGCCTCCACGTCCACACCCGCAATTGGACTCTTGCGTTGAAAGCAATGATGCTCCGGCCCGGGATAATTCCTTCTTGCTGCCTGATTTGAACATGGTGCCGGCAGTTGAAGAATCCAGTTCCGAAATGCTGTATGGGATGAGCTGAGGAAAGAAAAGCGGTGCTCCGGTCCGGTCTAACATAGCACACGCCAGAGGAGCTCACTTCAGTAGGTACTACTATAAGTAGAAAGTCAAGGGTATTATTCAGTAAGTTACGGATTTAACCTGGTCTGTTCCCGGTTGCTTGGAGTTGTATGGGGGTTAAATTAGTAAAATTAGCAATATCAAAAGCCTAATGGCTGTAGAGATTGTGCTTTTATGTCACAGGTTCCTGCTTTTTAGGGTAAACCCTCAATATTTCTCTCAATGTCGCGTTGAAATTATATTAGATCCATCAAAATTGTATCATTCTTTGTAGTTGAAACGTTGTCCTATTTTTCCTCATCCGAAATTCAATTTATAGTTTCAGTCCCACGACACGTGTCGAATTGTCAATGACTCATGTATTTTTTTATTTTCATTAGTTTTCAAAAACTCTCTCTCTCTCTCTCTCTCTCTTAATTTTGGTAAAATGGTTGGTCAATTTGGGAAGGGATCCTTTTCAAATCTCTTCATTCTAATCCATTAAATTAGAAAATTCGTATCATTGAAATTTGATCAAACATTTGAAGTTATTATAACTTTTAATTTGGATCTTTGTTTGTTGTCGTTAAATCAAATTTTAATGATACGAATTTCTTGATTTGATGGATTAAAATGAAAAAATGTGGAAATGATCGCTTTCCGGTCAATTTGTGCCAATAAATAATAAAAAATGATGTCACGTTTGAGAAAAGGACGCATCTTGTTGGGAGTTGCTTTTACTCTGAAGTATTAAAAAACTTGTGGTTTTCTTTCTTTTTTTGGAGGTTGAGTTGCTGTGCTTTGTATTTCTCGAATTGTACTTTGGAGATCGAAGCTGCTGCCATATTTATTTATGCAAAAAGCGTACGTTAAAGTTTATACAAAACTCATGATTAGTAATTTATTCTCCTGCAAAACATTAAAACAAATTAATTATGTGCTAAGATGGGGATGATGTTATTAAGCTGAAATCATAAGTACAACCAGTTTGCTATTGCTGTGTTTTGAAAAAAAAAATTGTTTTTACTGTGCTGTGAGAATAAGTAGCTATGAAATAAAACAGCAGAGTGTTTGGTAAACTTTTTTGTAAAAGTGCTTTTGAAAAAAAAAAAAAAAGCAGTATTATAGTGTTTGATAAATTTTTATGTAAAACATATGTGAAAAAAAGATGGTTTTTCAAAGCTGGGTTTTGCAGCTTTGTGTTTTTGGCTTTTTTTTCACAAAAAACTGTGAAAAAAAGCTGAAGCTGAATGTTTATCAAACATAAAAAAGCTCCCAGCTTTTTTTGATTGCCACTTTTTTCAAAATCACATTAGTACCAAACTAGGGATTAGAGTCATGAAAAATGAAGTTCTAAATAAGGTCAGACGAAGCTTCATTGTACCTTACCGTGAATACTCAGAAGTGAAAATGTTGCTAAATGTTGAGCAATAATTGTTTTGAATAATGTATAATTATGTAATTACAAGTCTTATGGGAAGGAATCGGATCCCTTACGGACCCAAAGGAACTGAGCCTAAAAATCAAATGATCCGGATCATTGAAATTTGATCCAACAACTACAATTATTATAACTTTAGAGGGGTCATGTTTGTAGCCGTTAGATCAAATTTCAATAGCCCGAATCATTTTATCCTTAGACTCATATTTTTTGGGTCCAGAGGAGATCCGGTTCCTTATGAAAAAACCTTAACTTCTTATGCCGTATGCGTTAAACTATAATTACATGATATGTAGCCGTGTTCCCAAGAACACATGAATGAATCGTCAATACTAGGGTTCTGAAGAAGAACAATAATAAACAAAAGCCCCGACTAAAGCCAAGTTGATCGCGCCTCAGCAGGAAGAGTTTGCCAGCATTAGCAAGAGCGTCCGCCACAAATTAACTTCATTATTAGTATGATGAAAAATGACATTCTGAAATCTGCATGCTAATTTTTGATATTATACATCAACGTGGAGAGATGCCAAGGGCAAGGGGTAGAGATGGTCCCGATAGTCAATACTAGGGTTTTTGGTCTTTATATTTTGCTCGAATTTTGATTTGATTTATGTGTTTCCGTTTTTATTTTTGTCCATAATTTGTGTTGTGAATTTGAATAATTTGCTATTTATGTTTGGGAAAATTTATTTAAACTTTATTATTCTTCATTTTACGCTTAACATATCAATTTTTTATCTTGAAATTCTGAAACTACCGACAATTCTCATTCTACAGCAAAAAAATAAAATAAAATAGAAAAAGTACACAAGCAATAACTACGGTCGCCCCCTCTCTCCAAACGTCGGAAAAGAATCCTCGCCAAATCATTTTCCTGAGGATCCTATGATTGTGACCGTTCATCATACATCTTGCGGTCAGTTTTCGTTAGATACTATTTATATTTAATTTTAAATTTTAAATAATTTCTGACCGTACGATATATAATAAACGATCATAATCATGGGATCCGAGTTCCTTTTCCCCAAACGCCAACCACCCCCAATTTTTAATCATCTCCAAGCACCCAGCAAAGATGTCAGCCACCCACACAAAGATCTCAGCCATGACTGATTCAGTACCTCTATCTCGACCTTTCCCCACCGCACAATATCTCCTCCTTCCGCACTTCGACACGGTCCTTCTAACACATCTGAGTTCCGCCGAAACTGTTGAGCGCCGAATCTAACAGTGTCGGACTATTGAGTGTGTAAGATATTTGTGTAGAATCAGAATTTCAATATTATCATGAGTTTCTTTTGGGTGTTTTTAATGGTGGGTTGTTAGGGGGATAAGGATGCGTATGGAGAGAGTGGGCGGAGATGGGGTGATCACAGACGATACTTTAATTTCCAAATTCTGAGGGGTAGAGGAGGTGGCGGAAAGGGATACTTGGGGTTAGGAAATATAGGGTGGACGGAGCTTTTGCTTGAATTTTTTTTAATTTTTTTTAATCAGTTTTTTTTCTTTTTAGTGTAGAAAAAGAATTATCGGGTATATTCAAATTTTAAAATTTATAAAAAAAAATGTAGAAAGAAGATAAATGTAAAAAAAAAGATAAATAAGTCTAAATAAAATCTCTAATTTGTGCCTATTTTGCCTAATTTGATGTTATTGAACGCGGATGTGTGATTCTTTGACTGCCGCGTGTGAGCATAAACTTCCAAGTTGGACAAAAAATAGTCAACTGGATCAAGTAGCCAAATTGATATACAAGGACCAAACTGGCATGAATTTTGATCGCAAACAAATAAAATCCGTTTTTGAAGAAAAATATCCCATAAATTGTATTCACTAATAAAAAAAAAGGATAGAACTTGCCTTGGGGTCGGCAACATTCCTTCTTGTCAAGGATTTTAGAGCGATGATTATCGTTCAAATTTTAGGTGGTTATTTTGTGGTTTGTGGGCTTGTCAAGGATTATGATGAGGAAACTCGAAATTTGTTGTAGGTGACTATAATAGGTGTTTTTGCTGACAATTGCCCTTGTGGGGCGTTGCAGTTGTTTGAGGGACTCACAGTCATGTCCCGCTTGTCGTTGCATGGTTTTCAATGACAGTATGATGATTATCTTGTGTGTCTTGACGATGGGTCTAGCTCATAGAGTTTAGGCCTTGTGAGCTTATCTTTCCTGTTTGGAACTTAGGTGTAGGTCTCCCATCGTTGAGGGATTGTAGTTTATTTTGTGTTGTCATTTTCTTGTTTTGTTTTGGTTGTGGTTTTATTGTTTGTTCACCAGGCAAAGGACTATGAGGACATCTTCGTGATTGTCTCATAGGGCTTCTTTGCCAAAAGAGCATCATCTTTTACAAGTTCATAAGAAAGTGATGCAAGATCTTGTCCTCCCTTTGGTTCAATGTGGTTACGTGAGGTAGGTTTTGAATGGTCTTTTTGTTGCATTTGCAATCGTCAAATCCTTTTCCTCATCGATGATGTTTCTCATTCTATTTGATTAATGGTGAAATATTTATTACCTTCAAAAAAAATAATACAACAAATCATTAAAATTACATACTCAGATAGATCACATGTTCCTTCTAGTAGCAATCGTAATTTCAAAAGGCATCTTAGGAATCCCCAGGTGCACATCTCCTGGTGTCTATCTCTCTAATTATGTTTATACAACCGGTAGCAAGACAAATTCTCGTATTACTTCGCATTCTTATCACCGTAAATGGTGTAAACGACTAGAAACACAAATATGCAGGTGATGACGACCGTTACATAGACTGTTGCTTAAGCTGATCTTCAACAAGCTCAATGCATCGGTACAAAACCAACTCGATTGGGTTTAAAGTACAAAGTGCGTCAAGTGGAAGCTCGTAATCATTCCTGGTCTCCGCCATTAGGGCGGTTACCTGGGTTCGTAGGGGTAAAAGCCACCCCTTATAGGCTTTCTGTAAATTGCTTCTGGAGATCACTCCGGTGTGGTTGGTTTTTCCTGTGCAAATTTTTCATCAGAGTACAAATCAGACTCATAATCTAATATTTTCTCCTCTGATAGTAAAATCTTGTTTGCTTTAATTAATTCAACGATGATATATGTTTACCTGTCGATTCTGTAATTAATACAAATCTGTACAGATTGAGCGCAGACAGAACCTGTAGAATAATATTACAGATCTTGTAAGATAAAGGGTTTTACTTTTCATCTGAACACAGTGAGATAAATTCAAGGACAGAGAAAATGCATATTATAAAAAGAATATGAAAATTAGACTACTTAGTCCTGAATTTCTGACATATCAAATTTAACCTCAAATATATTTGACACAGGCAAAAGCTTCGACATTCAAGGCAGATAAGTATACATATGTTCAGCTCATCTGACCGAGGATTAATTAAAAACTGCTATGCAATGAAATACCATTGTTGGTAATGACGAACAACATGATGAAGAAGGGAGGAAAAGAAAGGTAACTTCAGGGTATCAAGAACTGCAGAGAATGAAGATTTGTATTTGCAGCAGTTAAACAAGATTACCGGTTGCCTAATTTACACCAATTTATGGTTGCGCAAGATAAATCCAAGTTGGAAGTCCTTTAAGATTACTTTTCGTAATTGTAGGAAAGCTAAGTATTGTAATATCTTATATTTAGATGTTGTTGAGATCTTAGATTTGAAGCTTGGCGACATATAAAGACTCCTCAACACATATTGGTAAATCATACATAAAGACTTCATTACCACAAGCAGCTTACAAAAAGATATTCACAAAGCAAGTTGAAGAAATACCTTGTCAGTATCCTCAGGGAAGGATGGAGGTCCGCCCTCCGGGGGCTTCAGAATCAACTCCACCAATTCAAGGACATTGGCAGTCCAAAACAATGTAGGTGGTTTGGCTTGCGGTAGTTCATCATTTCCCACGTTTTGGCAGCTTTCCTTGTGCAGTTCTCCTTTAACAATATCCAGAAGGATTGCAATCTATGGTTGAAACAGCCACGTTAGGTAAAACTGCTTCAAGTATAATTCAACAAAAAATGAAGGAATACATATCACAAAAACTGGCTCTAAAGGTTTTACCATCGAGGAAGAATTACTATTTATGATCAAAGACTTCAACATGTCGAACCTCTGAGAAGCTGGAATATCAGCAAGAATCTGATTTTGATTGGCAGACAAAATGAGCAGTAATATTCAGAGGGTACCGTAAATAATTTACTTTGAACCTAAATTAAGTAGAGTACATGACATGACAAGCAAGGGCTTGCTTACTACAAAATGACCATAAACTGAGCCATTAGTTGCTTATGAAAAATGCATCAGACTATCACGTATTTAGATTACTGGACAAATGCAAGTACTAAGACAGATCCTCACCCTTTTGAAAGCTTCAAAGGCATTCTTCCTCAGCACTGTATCTGATGCATACATGATGATCATTTGAACAGCCTAAAATGTACCATGCCCATATGAGGAAAAAAAAGAAGATTAGATTCTCTTCCTCTTTGATAAATAAGTTCCTAAAACGTAGAATGATGTAAAGAGGCAACCTGCAGAGCTGCAAAAAGGGTAGTCATGTAAGATGAGAAGTCATTATGTTCATCACAGTGGGAGATATTTCCATCTGTAATGCAAATCAAGAAATTGATGGCATGTCTTTTAAGTTCCCATGGCAGAGTGGCAGGAGCTAGTATGTGCTTTAGCATGCCAACAGCTTGCCACCTTTCAGTCTGGTTATCCTTAAGTTCATCCTTGATGGAATTCAAATCCTCCTCAGCAGCCCCAACAACGTCATCAGAAGCATGGCCCCAGATCACTTAAATAAAGCAACAGAAAAAACAAAAATCAATTGACAAAGTGTCGAGCTACAAAAAAATTGATATAATAAGGAGCGATCAGCATTTAGAAACATAAACCTGAAAGAGGTGCACCGCATTTGACATCGGATAAACAACTCATATAATCATCTTCATCTTCTGAGTGTACAAAGGAACAAGAAAAGAAACGAAATATCAAGGGCCTAACAATTGGGTAACAAATAGAGTGAACTATAATAGAATACAAGGGAAAGAACAGTGATTGAAAGGATTTACCTCCAACTACTGCCCTAGTTATTTTGTCAACATCCGACCCAGTTATTACACCAAGATATGACAAACCACAAAACGGGAAAAAACTAGACAGCTGCAAAACAAACGGCTGAGAACTTGCAACATTATGATTCATGCTGACAACAGCCTGCACATAAATGGCGTGTTTAAGAAAACGAACACAAGACAGAAAGATAGCAATCAAATAGGGGAGACGTGATATGTAATAGAGTTTAGATTGGAATTTCTGCTGATATAACACAGACGAAAAAAGAGTCAAACTGAAACTTTGATTAAATGATACCAACCATAATCTGGACGACATAAAGACCCAGTAGAGCACGAAGCTTTTCACTTTCTACACCTTCCTGTGTCATGGAGCAAAAGACCATCAGGATCAAATAGAGAGTATGATAAGAATCAAAGAATATCGCTAAACCAGTAACATCCATCTTATCAGTTTGTCATGTACCAACTTTAGGCAAACCACACGTATGGACTTTGCAATCCCCATAGCTCTGTCAAACAAATTCTTAAATTCTGGATCTTCATCTTCCAACTCCAAAGACCGGCCCTTCAAAACTTTAACGATAATGGGAACTGCTACTTTCACTTGCTCAAAGTGACGCCTCTGAAGGGAAAGAAACACTGAAATTAACAAAAGCAACAGCAACACAAAATTAATAAAGTAGCGCTGGCAACAACTCAATTGGCACAATTCAATTACATGTACGAAACACAAAATGCATCTGATAACAATATAACTGTTAGTTTAGTTAACCATTTAATTAGTTAAGCTCATTTAAATTACCTTTCGAAAGCCCAGTTAGAAGAGGCGCAATATAACCAGAATCCCTGATTGTTTCACTTGGTGGAGCCAATGCCTGACCCAATCACAATAAAAAATCATCAAAGAACTAAAACCCAACAAAACCATCAATACAACAAGTATCAAGTTCACATAAAAATCACTAAAAAGGCCACATATTTACCTCACAAAGAATCGAAAGCATGTCTCGTGGACTACACATTGATATAAAGCAATCAATGGTGCACTCAACAAGCTCCAGGCATCCATCCGAGACGCCTCCGAACTTCGAAACCGCCATTGGCAACTCAAAGGAAAGTGCTTCGATGATCGCCTGGGCAAACAATCAAACAGTTGGTAAACATCAAAATGCACAAACAAGTAAAGGACCAAAAGCAGACGACTTTAACGAAACGAAACCTGGTCGAGTGAAGGGGAAGAGACGAATTGGTGGACTTTCGTGAGAGCTCGGAAGGCGTTGGCTTTTGCGTCTTCGTTTTCTGGGTCTGACAGAGCGGCGTCTAGGGTTGAATTGAGGAAGCTGATGAGCTCTGAGACGGAGGTTTGGGGTTCATCGACTGATTGGGATAGCGAGTTTAGGATTTCTTGAAGAAGGGGGGAGCCCTGGTCAAGATTGTCCGCCATGGGATCTCTGCAACTTCTCAAGCTTGAACAAGAAGAAGAAGAAGATGAGTTGGTGCGTGTTGCAATTTCAATTCCGTTCGGCAGGGTTTTTGTTTCCGAACGGCCCAACAAGGCGCGAACGCTAATCCGCCACTACCACCTCAACTCAATGGCACTTCATACAAAATAAACGGGTATTAAATTCTAATTTATACAGTGATATTTATATTTATTTGTAAGTAAAATGGTTTAAATTCGAGTCGTTGAATTTGAAATTTCTTTTAATGGAATTTGTAATCAGTACATCGGTAATCATTTTTTGTCTTTACATTTGGGATGGCATCATTAGTGTGTTACTACTTTATTTGGATGCGATGCTTTTCAAGACATTTGTTGAAGTTGGACATGAATTACGCTTCTTGATTTTCCTTATTGTTTTTCGGCACTTGTCTCCTTTTAACCAAATTGGCTGCAAGGAGACATCGGTTGTTTTGGAGAAAATTGCAAAGAAGGGGATGGTGAGGGTTCATATTAAGGTATTTTTTTTTGTTAAACAATAAATTTATTAGATTAAATGTTAAATTAAAAAATCGAGGGAGTAGAGATTAAGTTATTAACTATGTCGACGGAGTCCACAATTACAAATAAGCATAATTGATTAGTTTGTTGCATAAACTGTCCTGCACTTATCCAAGGATATCTCTATCCCCGATCCAGAGTCCGGATAACCCTACAACCAAACATATTTTCCTCCACCCTCCTTAACTAACCAAGAATCTCAGAACACGATCTGTGTCTTCCTCGCAGCGACATCTCCACTCCCATGCTCCCGATCCTCTACTCTCACTCCCACACCTAATTCCCCTGCACCCTCCGATCTCCCGCCAAAATGGAGCCGGACGTCAGCATCGAAACCAGCTCCATGATCCGTGTGGCTGTCCTCCCCATCGGCCACGTGCCCCCCGTCCTCCTCCGCGACTACCACTCGATGCTGCTCCGCCACCAGACGATCCCTCTCTCCGCCATCAGCTCCTTCTACACTGAGCACCAGAAGTCCCCCTTCGCCCACCAGCCCTGGGATTCCGGCAACCTCCGATTCAAGTTCGTCCTCGGCGGGGCCCCACCGTCCCCGTGGGAGGATTTCCAGTCCAATCGCAAAACCCTAGCTGTCATCGGTATCTGCCACTGCCCCTCGTCTCCCGATCTTGACTCCGTCATCGATCAATTCGACTCGGCTCGCCGCGCCTACTCCTCCGCCCTCGTCGATCGCTGCTTCGCCTTCTGCCCCGGCGATTCTCAGGTCCAGAGAATGCTAATCTCGATTGGTTTCAATTTGTTACTTTTTTCCTCTTCGAAATTTCGAATCTTTTTGGATTTATTGTGTGTTGATTGGATTACAGTTGGAGGATGGGAGCAAGAAAGGAGGGAACTTGATGCTGTTTCCGCCGGCGGATCGGGCGACTCTGGAGTTCCACCTGCAGACAATGATGCAGGACATTGCGGCATCACTGCTGATGGAGTTCGAGAAATGGGTGCTGAAAGCTGAGCCTGCAGGAACCATTGTCAAGACGCCTTTGGATTCCCAAGCCACTCTCAACTCAGAGGAGGTTCATGTCTAGGTGTCCTATAGGATTTATTCTGTTATTATAATAATTAGTAGTCTAGTGTGTATTTATAGAAATGTTAGTGTTTTAATGGGAGTGTTGGTATCTGAATTTATGCGTTAAATGTTACCGAAAGATGAAGTGAACAAAAAAAATTCTAAAATGGCAGGTTATAAAGGCGAAGAAGCGGAGGCTCGGGCGAGCGCAGAAGACAATGGGTGATTATTGCTTGTTGGCAGGATCACCTGTTGATGCCAATGCTCATTACTCTACTGCACTAGAACTTGCTAGGTTGACTGGAGATTTTTTCTGGTATGCTGGTGCATTGGAGGGCAGTGTCTGTGCCTTACTGGTAATGGCTCACTCTCTGGATTTTTGCATGGTTACCTGTGTTTAATAACACAGTAGGCTTTCATGGCTTCCCGGTTTATTTGTTGCTTAGATTTCCTACTTACTGACTTATATATAAACATGTTAGATTGATCGAATGGGCGAAAGGGATTCAGGTGTCGATGATGAAGTTAGATATCGATACAGTAGTGTCATCTTGCACTACAGGAAGTCATTCATACAAGAAAATGCTCAAAGGTAATTCCTAGATGCTATTGCATTTAGATGGCTGTTGCTTTATTAACGTATGCATTCTTTTAACTGTTACTTTTATTAATTATTTATGTGCAGAGTTTCACCCTTAACATTTGAACTAGAGGCTACATTGAAACTGGCAAGGTTTCTATGCAGGTATGTTTTGTTTATCAAAATTTTATAATTTGATGCATGCAGCTTGTATTAGATGCATCTACCGTTTTTACTGGATAACGTTCTGACTGTATCTTATTCGTATACTGTTTCTATCTATGAGTCTGACTTTTAATCTTCTGTTCTTGGTAAATGATGATAAATAAATTGAATTCTGTCTCTAAAAGTTGAAGTAGGTGCTCCATAATAGTTCCAGTTATGATAATTTATGTCCATGAGATGACAAAAAGACTTTGGAAATAGTTAGATTTTACACTTTCCTACGAAATTTGTTTTTGGTTTAACTGTGGCAGACGGGAGCTGGCTAAGGAGGTAGTGGAACTACTTACAAGTGCAGCAGATGGTGCTAAATCTCTGATTGATGCCAGTGATAGACTTGTTTTATATGTTGAAATAGCTCGTTTATATGGAACTCTTGGTTATCAGCGAAAGGCTGCTTTTTTCTCAAGGCAAGTGGCTCAGTTATATCTACAGCAGGATAATAGACTGGCTGCTATTAGTGCAATGCAAGTTTTAGCAATGACAACAAGAGCCTACCATGTTCAAAGTAGAGCTTCCATCTCTGAAGACTCGCTTCCTAAAGTGAGTGTTAAGTATTAAGCAAATGATTCCTGGTCATATTTAGCATTTCAGTCTGTCTGCATGCTTCGGCACATGCTTTAATGTGTCTTTTGAGATGGAATTTATGGCTTACTTTGTGAATTTGAGGTCTTGATCATTGATGGCACATATCAATCTCTTCTCTGTTGTATTTTGGAATAGTGCAAATGAAGAATATGGTTGAGAGTTTTATTCTCTAGCAACTGTCTTGCATTATTACTCTTTAGTAACGTTTTTATATAGCGTGTGGCTTTGATTGTGAGCATATTCGTAGTAAGTTTTTAGCTACTCATTCTTATTTTGTTTTTCACAGAAGGAAATTGGGTCAAGTCTTGCAGAGGGTGGGAAAATGCTCCACCAGTCAGTTGTCTCTCTTTTTGAGTCTCAGTGGAGCACACTACAGATGGTTGTACTCAGAGAGATTCTGCTATCCGCTGTCCGTGCAGGAGATCCTCTTGCTGCCTGGGGTGCAGCTGCAAGATTACTAAGATCATATTATCCTTTAATTACACCTGCTGGGCAAAATGGTCTTGCTAGTGCACTTTCAAATTCAGCAGATAGGTTGCCATCGGGAACTCGCTGTGCTGACCCTGCTTTACCTTTCATCAGGTTTTCACCAGTACCTAAGCATTTTTCCTGTTAAACATGAACAGTTTATTACTTATGAAGCCTAATAACAATAATAGTATTTGCTGTCCTATAGGTAATTTTTCTCCATGGTCTTTGCTGCATGACAAATATAGTTGCACTGAGACACCATGATAACTAGGGTTGAACTAATTACTATTTCTTTTAACATAAGTTTTTGATGTATGATTAAATGCTATCTAAATACATTTAATCTGTCAGTGAGGAGGATTATTCTGCTATGTGAATTACTACTGACGGATATTCTTTCTCTAACATTAGAATGCAGCAATGAGAAGTAGATACCTCCTAGCTCTGACCAGCTTATTAATGTTCTTATGGATGCTAGAGTCCTTTCTCTTGTTTTGTTTTCAACAAGTCGAGGCTTCTTTCTTTAGCATCATTTTTTAAAACAATATTTTGTTTACCTATATAGTTTTTGTAGAACTATGATTCGCTCAGAACCTTTTGTGTAGCTATGTAGTCTTCTATTCATATTGCGGATGAGCAAAACTCTATTCCTTTGTTCCTCTAAGAATCTTCCCATATCCAAGTTGATCTTGACTGAATATGGACAAATAATCATTAGTGCTTTTATTATAAGTGTCACTTAATATTAGTATGAATTCCCAAATTTAATCATCTTCTTTGCTTCTAGATTGTATTCTTTTCCTCTCCATCCTTCACAAATGGACATTGTAAAGCGCAATCCAGGAAGAGAAGACTGGTGGGCAGGAGCTGCTAATACTGGTCCTTTTATTTATACACCATTCAGCAAGGGAGACACAAACAGTAACGCCAAACAGGACCTTGTTTGGATTGTTGGAGAACCTGTTCAGATTTTAGTCGAACTGGCAAACCCTTGTGGCTTTGATTTGAGGGTTGATAGCATATATCTCTCAGTGCCTTCAGGAAATTTTGATGCTTTTCCTGTTACTGTAAATCTTCCACCCAATTCATCAAAAGTGATCACCTTATCTGGGATCCCGATTGCAGTTGGGCCAGTGACAATTCCTGGGTGCACTGTCCACTGCTTTGGTGTTATTACCGAACACCTGTTTAAGGATGTTGATAATCTGCTTCTTGGAGCTACACAAGGACTTGTGCTTTCTGACCCTTTCAGATGCTGTGGGTCTGCGAGGCTGAAAAACATATCTGTTCCGAACATATCTGTGGTACCACCATTACCATTGCTGGTTTCACGTGTAGTTGGTGGTGATGGTGCAATCATTCTTCATGAAGGTGAAATTCGTGATGTGTGGATCAGTCTGGCTAATGCAGGTACAGTTCCAGTTGAACAAGCACATGTATCATTATCAGGAAAAAACCAAGATTCTGTTATCTCGATTGCGTCCGAAACCTTAAAATCAGCCCTTCCTTTGAGGCCTGGGGCCGAAGTGACTATACCTGTGACCTTAAAGGCTTGGCGCCATGTTGTAGCAGATCCTGAGACTGCTGCAGGCAGGAGTGCCTCTGGAAGCACTGCAAGGCAGTCTAAGGATGGAAGTAACCCCATATTGTTAATCCATTATGCAGGTATTAATAAATCAATTACCGATATAGTACTCTTTCTCTCTCTCTCTCTCTCTCTCGCTCACACACATGCATTATCACGTAGAGCTAAAATGAGATGAATTATGTACATTATTTTATATTTACTGTTATCTTCTGATGTTCAAGTATATATAGTAAGCCCTCTTTATTTTCAATTTTTTATGTATATATAATAAGAAACTGAATGCTAAACCATTTTCTGAACTGTCCATTCTAACTGGGTACAGTTGTCATGTATCATATGCACCTCCCCTGTGCCACCTCGTTCCTGAGTAGTGACTACAAGTACCATTAACTTCTGTGACTTGATTTCTTTTCATTTTGTTTCTCAGGGCCTCTGACAAATGCTGGAGATCCTCCAACAGATAAATCTGCTATCCCCCCTGGCAGGCGCCTTCTTGTTCCTTTGCAGATTTGTGTTCTTCAGGGTTTGTCTTTTGTAAAGGCTCGTCTGCTTTCAATGGAGATTCCTGCACAAGTGGGTGTAAACCTTCCAAAACCAGTTGATATTGAGAATAGCCCTACTGAAGCTCTTGGTTCTCCTACTAAGATGGACAGATTGGTGAAGATTGATCCTTTCAGAGGAAGTTGGGGACTACGCTTTCTTGAACTTGAGTTGTCTAATCCCACAGATGTTGTCTTTGAAATTACTGTTTCTGTCCAGCTGGAGAACGCTAGTCATGAGCATATACTTTCTGGTGATCAAGATGCTACTGAATATGGTTACCCTAAAACAAGAATTGATCGGGATTGTTCTGCGAGGGTACTGATACCACTGGAGCATTTTAAACTACCAGTTCTTGATGATTCGTTTTTTGTGAAGGATAATCTGGCAGATGGGGCTGTTAGTGGCAGAAATTCAAGCTTCTCGGAACGGAATACTAAAGCTGAACTTAATGCTTCTATCAAGAACCTCATATCTAAGATAAAGGTTAGGTGGCAATCAGGTCGAAACAGCTCGGGAGAATTGAATATCAAGGATGCTATACAGGCAGCCCTTCAGACATCTGTTATGGATGTACTGCTGCCAGATCCATTGACATTTTGCTTCAGGCTTTCTAGAAACGGCCTTGCACTTGAACATTCTGGTTCACACACAGAGCACAATTTTCAAGTTCACCCTTCTGCAGCTAAGGGTTCTGTGCTGGCGCATGAAATGACTCCAATGGAAGTTATGGTTCGTAATAACACGAAGGAGATGATCAAAATGAGTCTTAGCATTACATGCAGAGACGTTGCTGGAGAGAATTGCATAGAGTGTACAAAGGCAACTGTCTTGTATTCTGGTAATGTTCTATGATTATGCCTTTTTGACAAGCCTGTTTTAGTATTTAGAGATATTCACTCTTCTATTATATGTAGGTGTGTGTGTGTGTGTATTTATTTCAAGGCAGATAAATTTTTCGGAAATAAGCATTTTGGTTATCAAATGTTGAATCCTGCCTATTTTTTTGTTTATTTCTGAACCGTTTGTTTAGAAGTCATTTTCACTAGAACTTCCCCTGAAATTTGCAAGAGAATCTCACTGGTGTTTTGTGCTAATTGAATTCGTACGTAGGTGTTTTGAGCGGGATCACTGTGGAGGTTCCCCCACTTGAAGAAATTAAGCATTCTTTCTCATTGTATTTTCTTGTCCCGGGTGAGTACACGCTGGTAGCTGCCTCAGTGATCGATGATGCTAATGATATACTCAGGGCTCGTGCAAGAACAAAATCATCCGATGAGCCAATATTCTGCCGTGGGCCCCCATATCATGTTCGTGTTGTTGGGACTGCATGATGGTTCTTTCCACCCACCACATCAGCCGGATTAGCTCAAACCAGGTTAATGCTTTCAGTATCAGTAAACAATGCCATATGTTTTTAATTTGGCAGCGGGAGGAACGCATCCATTTGTCTTGAGAATCAAATTCTTAAAAGTAGGGTGTTCTCTGTTGTGTATTTTAGATTCATAGTTGCAGTTTTGTACACAAATGTTGTGAAATAAGTTGTTAACCTCTATCAATTTGGCTACGTTTTATTTACACGAAAGAAACATGTTTGCTGCAGATTATTGGAGTCTTCATTTTGTTCGATGATTGTTGTATACAAGATTTGATCATGGATGTGTGTTTTTTCTTGCCTAGCCAAAGCATTTGTGGGTTTTTGTTGTTTCAAATCGACGGGGGATGGAAATTTGAATTCGCGACTTCTTTCGGCAGTGCAAAAAGAAGTAGGATTTGTAAAAAATTTGCATGTTATTCTGAAGTATTGTATTTGATTGAACTAGGAAAATTAATATGAAACCCTTGAGCCGTCATAGGAGTGTACAGAAACAGAATAAAAAGGGTGTGTTTATCATTTTTCTTGACTAAGCGAAAAGATGCCAAAATGTGGGTTAGAGTTGAAACAATTTTGCTATGTTTCACACAAATGATTCTCGCGAACAAAATATCGACTCCATATCGACGATATAATGACAAACTGTGTAAGGTCGAAATATCAACGATATCAACAATCCGCAACATAGAAAATTTTATGTTTATAAACGTCATTTTCTTGTTTGGCGCAGTGGAGGTTGCGAATAATGTGGCCAGCTTTGCATCAGAGACGGGGAGGAGGAAGGAGATACCGAATCAGGGGTATAAACGTCATTTTCGTTCAAGAGCCGGGAAAATGCCGTTACTTGAAAACGTTTGCCCGACTCTTCGTTTCCCTCCTTATTTCCCCGCCACCTTACCGTGACGGTCGAACGGGGTAAGAGCTAAACATTCCCGGCGATCCCTTGATTCCCCAATGAAATCTCAGGTCCCCAAATCCCTCCTAACTCTCATCGAGACCTGCACAAGCCTTCAACAACTGAAGCAGATCCACGCCAAATCCATAATCTCGGGCCTTTCCTACAACCAATTCATCCTCACCCAGATCACCAATTCCTTCCTACTCCCTCAATCTCTGAACTACGCTACCCGCTTATTGATTCGAACCCAAGAACCAAGCGTTTTCATCTACAATTCCATGATCCGAGCACATTCCCAATCAGAAACCCCATTTGTTGCTCTGTCGATTTATAACATGATGAGGGTGCAAGAAAATGCTTTGGGCGACAGGTTTACTTACCCTTTTGTGTTGAAGGCTTGCGCTAGCGAATCGGATATGGACAAAGGGAGGGAGGTTCATGGTGTAGTTGTGAGAATCGGGTTTGACTTCGACAGGTATTTGTGTACTTCTTTGCTGAACTTTTATGGGGTTTGTGGAAAAATTGAGGGTGCAAGGCAGGTGTTTGATGAATTTACGGTGAAGGATGTTGTTTTCTGGAATTCCATGATAATGGGTTATGCTCGAAACGGGATGGTTTTTGAAGCTTGTGAGGTTTTTAGGGAGATGGTGGAAGTGGGAGAGGTTAGACCCAATGAAAGTGCGGTTTTGGCATTGATTTCGGCTTGCACGGTTTCGAAAAACTTGAAATTTGGAAGAGAGATTCATGGGGTTTTGAGAAAAGAGGTGACTTTTGGGTCAAATGTGAAAGTTGGAGCTGCACTTGTTGATTTGTATGCAAAATGTGGGTGTTTGGATTATGCAAAGAGAGTGTTTGAGGGAATGCCTGACAAGAATGCTGTGGTATGGAACTCTTTGATAAGTGGCTATTCCCTCAACGGGTTGTCGAAAGAAGCAATTGATGTTTTCAGGGAAATGTGTTGTTTGGATGTTAAGCCCGATACGTTCACGATTTCAGGCTTGTTGTCCGCTTGTGCTCAAATGGGTGCTGTTAATATAGGAAACTGGGTTCGGAAATTCGCAGAGAAGAATGGACTTTGGGATGTGTTTATAGGTACATCTTTGGTAGACCTGTATGCAAAATGTGGTTCCATTGAAGCAGCTAGAGACGTGTTTGATCAAATGGATAAGAAAACTGTTGCAACATGGAACGCTATTCTCTCTGGATATGCGTCAAATGGGCAGGCTGGATCTTCAATAGAGCTCTTTGATGATATGAGAAAATCAGGTGTCATGCCAGATAGTGTAACGTTCCTTTCGATTTTACATGCTTGTGCACATGCTGGTTTGGTTGAAAAAGGTAAACAATACTTTGATTTGATGGTGAAAACTTATAAGATTGCCCCAAAAGTTGAGCATTACGGTTGCATGGTTGACCTTCTTGGGCGCGCTGGACTTTTGAAAGAAGCAAGGAAGCTTATTGAGAGGATGGATATTGAACCAAATGTAGTTGTATGGGGATCACTGTTTAATGCTTGTAGCATTCATGGTGATATTGAGGTAGGAGAGTGGGTGGCTGATCATGTTTTCAACTTAGAAGCAATGGATGGGGGCTCCTACGTGCTGTTAGCAAATATGTACGCTGCAGCACGAAGGTTTGACAGGGTTAAAGCAGTTCGAGAGGCAATGGTTAACGCGAGTATTTGCAAGCTACCTGGATGTAGCATGATCGAGATTGGAGATGTAGTTCATGAGTTTCTTGTTGCCGACAAGACACACCCTGAATCAGAAGAGATATACACTGTGTTGGACGAATTAAGCAACAAGCTCAAGATGACAGGCTTGATGCGGTTGCCTGCTTTATATGAAGAGTGTCTGGAAAGCAGCTGAGGGACAATCAAATTCCTAGAGATATTTCCTGAAAGTGGGAAGACCGGAAGAGGAGGGAAAGTGATTGGAGCAGTTACCCTTCTAGGGACATTTGGATTTGAATGGATTGCAGATTCGGAAGATGGACACGTGATCTCGGAGTTGATTTGGAGATTCAGTTCAAGGTTCAATTCTTTCCTTAATCCATGGACATGTTTTGTGAATATCTGTCACTGCATTTCTTATGTATTAACCATGATACTCTTGCAGATGGCCTTCAAATCTTCATGCAACAATTTCAATATCGTCAACATCGTTCAAGTCCACGGTATGAGTTAAATTTCAAGCAATCTCTTTGTCCGGCTAAGCACCACAAGTTCTACGCATCTCTTCATCGCAGCAGTTCGATCGCCTTGGTTTAACCCTCCAACAAGGAAGAAAAAAATATTGAAACAAGGGCATGGCACGCTGGCGAATTTATCGGCTATTTCTAACCGTTCTGAAAAAAATTCAAGGCCAATGTACTTGTGATAAATATTTTGCTTAAATCCTAAGCTATGTTATAAGTGAGTACATAAGTCATATTTCTCCAAATCACTCGAAGTTAACAACTGCCTTGGATGATCCCAGGACCATGCGTTTTATGTCGACCTCCATTCTCACAGGCTTCGATTTTGAATCCGGCACCTCCTTCAGCACAAACTTGCAGCAATCTCCAATCTTGAGCCCATTGTCCTCGTAAAACTTGTACCATCCCCTCGTTCTTATTGCGGTGCGAAGACTAATGGCTGCACCTCTCTTTCCGCCTTGCCAAGTTCCAAGTTCCACCGGCCATTTTCCTTGAACAAACGGAACTTTGAGGATCATTTTCTTTCTGTCACCAAGGCCATGGGCTTTCACAAATCCCGACGGAATAGTCTGCCATGAACACTCGCTAGAATTAGAAAGGATCCAAAATCAACAAAACAAAGAAGACAGCTTCAGAACTTTCACCTCGGTATCACGACACATTTGTACGGGGAAGGGAAGGTATAAAACTTACCACATAGCACTTGCTGGGCAGAGAATGAGTTTCCGAAATGCTTTTGAGGAAGAACAGAGGACTCGAGGTTGATGGTGCAGCGGCAGGAGGAGGAGGAGGAGGAAACACTTTCTCGCAACCGAGTGGCTCATACACGTTGACATGAAAAACCATGCGGCCTAGGTGTTTGAACACAAGAAATTCTCCGACTTTCAGGTTGTGATCCTTCACAAACTCTTCCCAACCGCCTTCAAAATAGAGGGTTCCCTCCCCAGTCCTAGCAACTCCAACTTCCCATGATCCCTGGCAGCTTTCAATAACCGCTTTCTTCGCGTTCCTTTCGTTAAGATTCTGAGAAAAACTCGCCGGAATTGACTGTTGATAAGCAGAATAAAAACATTAGGTCTCATTTCCTAACCAATCAAACAGCGAAGATGTGACTCAACATTTATGTTAACATGGATGAACCTGCAGCTAGAATTTACGAAATAAACGGAGTATCATCAAGGTAATACATATTCACAGCATTTCACTCATCAGCCTCTTCATTACAATCGGCATTTCACACGTCCGAATCAATCAATCTGAAAAATGGACAAACTCGATGTCTATGTTAAAAAAGGATGGACAAACAAAATGTGATATAAATTTCCAGGAGAACTAACGTTTTAGATGAAATCCTAAACAAAATAAGAGTAAGGAAGCAGATGAACAAAATCCAAAACCCACAAAAATAACATGTCTCATTAAAATTTACAATATTTCGCATACAAGAAAATTACTGAGAGAGAGAGAGAGACCATACGATTGCGTATTCGAAGCCGGGAATCAAAGGCTTGAAAAACCGTCTGGGAAATGGAGGTGAGCCGGCCATGATTCTTGCGAAAATGCTGAGTGAAAACAAGAAATGTGAAGAAAAAGAAGAAGTTCTGAAGGGGTTGTGAAAGTTTTCTCAGAGAAACACACAAGAAGCTAGGGTTTTGGTTTGCTTACCAGCTACGGCTGAGGAAGTGAATAGCGTTGAATATACAGGTGGAGAGAGCCAATGGGAGCCCTCCACCGCAGCACTGGGTGGCAGAAGAGCAGCGGCGATGCCGTGAATTTCATTGGCTGGAGGTCGTACGGCGAGTTCGTACTCTGCGGAAACGCCGCGGGAAGCTTTGAATTGAGCGGTCTGCTTCTGTTGACAGTGTTCAGTTGTACTTGTACTTTGCTGCTTTCAAGTCTTAACTGGGCTGGGCCTAATAAAATGGGCCTCTTCAATTTGTTGGTTGTTCATGGGCTGGACCAAAGAAATTATCCCTGACCTTCCAACTGCAAATTTATTAGGGCTTTAGGAGAAGGACCCTTATGTTTGTACATCAGCATGTTTCCAGTTGGTTGATTCGGACTCTACAGGATTTAGCACTAGTCATTATCCATCGAAAGGTACCAAAAAAAGAAACCTGAAAATACTAGGCACTCCTTGTCTTATCCCAGCCAAGGACACCCGACTTGATCGATCAGATGCACGGGTAAGACAATTTTAAATGTAATTTCTAGAGGACGGTTGCGTTCAGTCAATCAAGCGCACGCGAGAGTAATTCTTAACCACATGTACATATATATTTCACGATAGAACACGCATGCGACATCAATGATAAGAAATCAATCACGTGCAGACATGCGACTGATCTTTGGGGGCAATGGAACAGAAGTGTTCAGTATCTGATTGGTATTTGCTTTGAGGATAAGACTGAGATTAACGTTCATTGGGGGCAAAGGAACAGTAAAAGATGCATGGTTTAGTTTGAGCCTTGAGGGGCCTATGGAGGTAGAAAAATCGACCCTCTTACATTATTAATTAATTAATTGCCATGCATGCATGCATCCTTGTCGCATGTTTTATAAGTTTTATAATGTTTTTATTGTCTTCATGCAGGACATGTCGCGATGTTTCCGTGTTGTAGGCTCCGCCCTTTTAAATTTCTGTCACAATTTAATTTCTCAATGAGAAAATTGTGCTAGTACGAACTTCGGATATGACAATTCACTAATTTCAAACGTTCAAGTTTACGATTCATTTCATACTCATAAGTTAGCTCATACTCATAAGTTAGCTAGCTAAAGTAGTATGGGTCAGTGATGAGCAAAAACCCTAAGTCTTGCATGGGCCTAGCTATAACCAGCCAGAGGAAATGTTGGCTTTGAAGGGAAGACAAGCATGAATTTTGAAAGATCGCCACCTAATCTTGCTTGCGATGAGGATGACAGTCCGAAGCATTCAAAATAACACATTTTAATTTCCTTATTGTCACATGTTTGTATAGTCATCAATCAGTCCTATTGACAAATTCCACAAACAATGATCAATGTATAAGTCCTCCGTTTCTCTGCTTCATCACATGGGAAAATTTGTCAATGTGAAACTTCAAGGCCTAGAATATTCCTTCTTAATTTGTCACATGCATTGAAAAAATAACAAAATTCTACAACGATCTGTCCCATGTTGATGTTGAATAAAGGATTAAATAATTTGATGGAGATTTTTATGGAATGATTAAAATGATTGATAGTGGACAAACTCGGGGACCACTTTTATCGATTTTAAATCTCAGGGACCAAAGTGATAAGTTATAGCAATCTCACATACCATTTTTTTGTTGTTGAACAAACGATAGTATTTATACCAAGGGGGAGATGGTGGGTTTAGCATCACAATAAGCTGCCAATAATGTGATTCACATTCGTCTTTAAAGAAAATCGAACTTAAAATGAACAAGAATCTCTATACACGCAGGCATACTAAAAATCTCCAAAAGTATACCTACATATCGGCCGAAACAGTATTTTCATTATAACAAACTTATATTGATGATTATAAAACAATAAGCCCAGTTGTAATTTGAATTGAAACTCTCTAGAGGGAAACACATTGACCCCCGATCATTCAGGTTGGCAAGTTCAAATTCCAAGTTAACACTTCTTCTACGTTCGTTAACTTAAAACGTTCCCAAGTTTCCTCTACTATAACCAGTTACGCGCGTTATCATAATCGTCGTTGTTTGGTAAAATTAAATATGAATAGTTAGATACAGTTAATGTTAGACAAATAAGGAATATGGTTGGAGTCCTTGTGTAATTGTATATAATATTATTATTGGAAGAATAAGCCGTCCTACAGCCGTCCTACCTTGTCCTACCTACACACTAGCCGTCCTACAGCCGTCCTACCTTGTCCTACCTACACACTAGGACGGCTACCTTGTCCTACCTACACACTAGGACGGCTACCTTGTCCTACCTACACATTTGTATCATGTATATATATCCTTGTAATCTTGTAGAGAAAGATAATGAAAAATTTGCATTTTCTTCCATAAGCATTCTCTTCCATTTTTCCACATTCATGTATCAATAACAAATATAATTTTTAGCGTACATACCTTTTTCTACATGGTATACAGAGCAGGTTTATAACCCTAGCCCTAATTTTTTTTTCGGCAGCTTTCTCTGCCGTTCCCATGGCTGTTCGTGGCCCGTCCCGTCCCTCCTCTGCTCGTCCTCCCCTCCACTGCACCTACTGCAATTTTGATTATCATACCCGAGACACCTGCCATAAACTTCATGGCTATCCCGTTGGCCATCCCCTCCATGGCCAACCGTGGCGACCACCGCGCCGTGCCACTGCTTCCAGTTATTCCCGCAGCCATGCACCTTCCAGTCCTCCCCAGCAGCCACGGTTTTCTGCTTCCCGGCCCCATAATTTCACCCAGGCCCATCACTTGCAAGGCACCCAGGCCCCCGCCTCCTCTTCTACTCCAGCGACCCACCAAGTGCACGGGACCCAGCCCACTTTGCATGACTTGCAGCTTGCCATGCCTGACCTCTCTGCCGAGCAGCACTCCCGTGTTCTAGCTGCTTTACGTGACACCACCACCCCTCCTCAGGCCAATGTCGTGCTCACTACTGATTTTGCCCAAGGTTTGTTACCTGTCACCTCTCGTCATGGTCAATGGATTCTTGACAGTGGTGCTACGGATCATATTACTTCTTCCGCTTCAGGTTTGGTTAATCGTTCTCCTTCACATTTGCTGCCTGTTTCTTTGCCTAGTGGTGCTTCCGCTCCCATTACTTTTACCGGCACTCTTCCTTTAAATTCCTCAGTTACTTTGAAGGATGTTTTATGTGTCCTTAATTTCCGAGTGGACCTTTTATCGGTTGGTAAACTTACAGATGGATTATCGTGTTCCATAACCTTTTTTCCTTCTTGGTGTGTTTTGCAGGACTTGGTTTCGAAGGCGATGATTGGTGTGGGTAAGCGACGTGGCGATCTGTATTACCTTGTGGCCCTTACCTCTTCTCTCCCCACCCGTCAACCTCTCTGCAACATCATTACCATCCCCTCCTCCCTCTGGCATAGGCGTCTTGGTCACCCCTCCTCCACTCGTTTGCAAGCTTTAGCATCTAGCTCTCTTAATTGCACTTTTGATTCTAGTCATATTTGTGATGTTTGTCCGTTGGCAAAACAAACTCGTCAACCTTTTCCTTTGAGTTCAATTTCATCAACTTTCCCTTTTGCTTTAATTCATTGTGATATTTGGGGCCCGAATCGTCAATCTTCTCTTTCTGGTGCTAATTATTTCTTAACCATTGTGGATGATTTTTCTCGCTTTACGTGGGTCTTCCTCATGAAACATAAATCCGACACTCAACAATTAATTAAGGATTTTTTTGCTTATGTCACTACCCAATTCCGCACTACCATCCAATGCATTCGTACTGACAATGGTGGTGAATTTTTATCTCTTCGTAGTTTTTTTTCTGATCATGGGGTGCTTTTACAAACTTCTTGTGTTTATACCCCCCAACAAAATGGCGTTGTTGAAAGAAAACATCGTCATCTTCTTGAAACCGCTCGCGCCCTTCGTTTTCAATTCCATCTTCCTATCAAGTTTTGGGGGGAATGTGTTCTTACCGCTACTTATCTCATCAATCGTCTCCCTACCCGTCTTCTCCATCATAAATCCCCATTTGAGGTTCTCTTTTCGAAAACCCCATCTTATGATCACTTCCGCGTCTTTGGTTGTCTGGCATATGCCACCTCTGTCACTCCTACCACCAAATTTTCCCCTCGGGCTCATCGTTGCATTTTTCTCGGTTATCCTCATGGACAAAAGGCCTATACCCTTTACGATCTCGACAATCACCGCATTTTCACTAGTCGAGACGTCATCTTTCACGAAAGTATTTTCCCTTATGCCGTTTCTCACCCTCCTATCCCATCCTCTTCGCCTACCCTACCCATCCCACCCCCTCTGGACTTTACATATAACCCACCCCTTCCTGCCCCGACGCCTCACCCTCCTCCACCTTCCTCCCCTTCCACGCCTCCCACAGATTCCCTTGCTGCCCCATTACCCGTTCCTCCCCATGCCCCTGCCCTCTCGGCATCCCCTCCTTCCCCCCCCCCCCCCCCCCCGCTACTTCCTTACCTTTCACCCTTTTACCCACGGACATCCCTACCCCCCCCCCCCACTACCTACCAATCCTCCCCTTCCCCGCACCTCTTCCCGTGCCCATAAACCTTCATCCTATTTAAAAGACTACGTTTGCTTGCAGGTGGTTCTGCCATCCCACCCATCTTCGACTTCGCAACCCGGTTCTACACAAGGTACGCGATATCCGCTTTGTAATTTTCTCTCTTATCACCGTTACTCTCCCATGCATTTTTCTTACATTAACTCTGTCAGTCGGACTGTGGAGCCTTCCTCCTTTGCCGAGGCTGCCACTGACCCCAATTGGCAACGTGCTATGACTGAGGAGCTTCAAGCTTTACATGCTAATGGTACTTGGACTTTAACTTCCTTGCCCCCTGGCAAAATTCCCATTGGTTGTAAGTGGGTGTACAAACTCAAGCACAATTCTGACGGCTCTATTGACCGCTACAAAGCTCGTTTAGTTGCTAAAGGCTTCACTCAGGCTGAAGGTATTGATTATCATGACACTTTTTCTCCTACTGCTAAGATGATTACGGTGCGTTGTCTTCTTGCTCTTGCTGCTAGTCAGTCTTGGTCTCTTCATCAGCTTGATGTTAATAATGCTTTCTTACATGGTGACTTACATGAAGAAATCTATATGTCTCCTCCTCCTGGTCTTCGGCGACAGGGGGAGAATCTTGTGTGTCGCCTTCACAAGTCACTTTATGGTCTTAAGCAGGCTTCTCGCCAATGGTTTGCCAAATTCACTAGTGTCATCATTTCTGCCGATTTTCAACAATCCAAAGCTGACTATTCATTGTTCACTAAAAAGTC